ACAGCGGCTTTTAAGAGCTACGATTTGCCAGTTAGGTTTTGAAGTCATACTCAATAATAGTTTAGACTTATCCAAGTGGGAGACTGTTGGATTAATGTCTAAGTCCATAACTATATTTGGTATGTACTTTGGACCCCGACCCGGCATGGTCCATTTGGGTTGCACTTCACCGGCACACAATTTATATGGATAGTTTTTGAGAATAGTATATTTTGATGATTATCATTAATAATTATAAGTTCTAAATATTAATATGGAATCATATTATTTAATTAGTATTGATCAGAATTATTAGAATAATTAAGTGATCAAAAAGAACAACTAATAAATATGGACTCTTATATATATGGAATGGGCCAAGTTCATTTAGGTTGGGCTAAGCTTTCATAGATGGTCCATGGAGCTTTTAACCCATGGATCCTATGTAAATGAAAGGTCATGGGTATTAGGGTTTACATGGATGTAACCCTAATCCTCCATAATATATAAAGGGGTCATTGGCTCACAAAATTGGCACAAGTGGTGAAAATAAGGTGGGCCGATTTTAGTGTGCATACATATTCTCTCAAGTTCTTCCAAGGTGTTTTGGGTGATTGTGATTCCATTTGGGCTTCCACACTATTGGGGCTAAGCTCTTAAAGCTTGAAGACATCAAGCTACATCAAAGGTATCTCATCTAACTAGAACTTTGTAGTTATAGGTGCTTCAAATATGCTAGTTAGGAGATGAAACCTTGGAATAGTTAATATTTGCATGTATAATAGAGAAAACATAGATCCAAAGTTTATAGGGTTGCATGTACACCATAGGAGTGTTAGAATGCTCAAAACCCAACAAATACATGGGTTATATTATTGGTTAGCCACTTACATAATCATGGATCACTTAGCCCATACTATAAGTATCATTGATTTACATAATCAATCCCTCCATATTTAATTAGTCTCTTTTGACCACATAATTTAATTCCAAATTAATTCTTGGACAATACTAATTAAATAACTATATTAATATATTATACTTATAATATATTAATAAATCGTAAATAACCTTATTCTCATAAAACCATCTTATCAAATTGCATTGGTGAAGGTAACCCAAAAGGACCATGCTACTATCGGGTCAAGTACATAGCAGTTATAGTTATGGGCTTAGACACTAAATCCAACATATATAAGATAGGAATCATTAGTATAACACCCAAATGAAATATTAAGGCTAAAACCCAACAGAATATTCTACAATTCGAAAGAGGGATGCGTAATCCAATTGCAAAATATTTGATGGTAGGTAAATGACGATTTACCAATTTCCGCCATGAAAAATGAAATTTATTATTAAGTTTTAAATGAATTAAAATTCCTAGATTCTTTGAGATTCATTGAACTTTTAAATGGCATGTTTAAATCTTGATTATGCCCTTCAAGTTTGTAATTGGGATACCGAGGATCACAAACAAGGTGTGAATAACCATGCAAATTGCTTGGTACTCTTGATGTCACTTATCACCTAATCAATGTGTCGGTTAACCACACACGCTCTATTAATCTATGACAAACATCAAGCTACCCTTTGCCACCCTTGTTAGTACCAAATTAGTGTGGCAGTTAACCGTACACACTCCACTAACGACTTGGCAAGGTGCAAAGTGCAATTTCATGGAATAGCACCATTTATGTCTTATCCTACCCGTTTGGCTAACGACCCTCCACCAGTCAAGGAAGCGTTGGGTGAGAGTGGACACCCATTAAATCACCATTTTATAGACAATATCCTTATACCCCCCTTATAGACCGGCTTCGTAAATGAGGCCTACTAACGGTAAGACTGACTTGTCTTACACACACACACACCACAACACACACACACACACACAATATATAATATATATATTATATATATATATATATATATATATATATATATATATATATATATATATATATATATATCATATATATAATATATAAGGCCGTTTGATAGACATCTTTCCAGGTCTAAACAGATCTTTCTGGCTGAATGGACCGGAAAGACTGTTTGACATGCATAAAAAATAGGACTTTCCAGGTAAGATATGTCTTTACCAGAAAGCTCCAAAACCATATCTTTCTGGCTAAATAGGCTGGAAAGACAATTGTGCCCCAAACTCTGTCTCTTTCTTTCTTGCATTATTAATTTCTTTTAAATTATTTTTTTAATTTCTTTTTTATTGAATTATTATATTAATAAATATTATTTTTATATATAATATTTATGTATTAATTAATATTATTTTATTAGATTATTAATTTCTTTTAAACAATTCTTTTTTTATTTTTAATGAATTAAGTATTTTTATTGGATTATTATATATTAAAAAATATTATTTATAAATATATAATATTTATATGTTAATAAATATTACTTTATTGGATTGTTAATTTCTTTTAGTTAAATTTTTAATTCATTTTTATTGGATTAGTTCTTTTTTTTGGACAACCTACCATCATCCTAATATATTTTGAAAAAAAATCATTCATCCCACTATTATCGGACATAAACCGTGTCAATAATCACATGTTGAGTTATAACAAAAAAATAATTGCTAGAAAGAATAACGACGTAACATTAACTTAAAAAAAACTAAAAAAAAACTTAATTGACATTCTATTTGGATTTTTAAATGATTATTGTATAACTTTGATTTTGTATGACAATTTGTATGTTTTTATAATTATTCAACAATTTTATCCATCACTGTATAGAACAACAGGGGAATATTGTCATTTTTCATTATTCTGCATAGTCAATCAGATGTACAATCAAACAACATTGTTTCTTTCTCAGTCAGAAAACTTTCCCATACAACAGTTTCCCAGACAGCACTTTCTCGGATAGAAACTATCAAACGGGGCCTAAGTATTAACTTTTAATATTATAATAGTATAAGGGTTGAATTTTAAACTTTAAAATTCTAAGGTTTGGAATTAAATGTGTCATAAGTGAGACTTTACAAATTCCAAAACTTAAGGCAAGTTTTGTAACTCTTCAAAACTTTGGTTTCCATAACTTGAGTTTTAATGTTCATGAATGAGACTTTTCATTTTCATAACTTGATTTTGATCAGTTATAACTTATTCAATCATATAAACATCAAGTTGATCTAATCTAACTCATATAGAAAGACAATTCACATCAAATAATACAAATAATCAACTTATTATCTTAAAATTTGATAATTGTCCTGTCATTGGATAAGGATAATCACTACCATATCAGAAAAAACATTTTTAATGATACAAAGCAGTTTGTGGTAATGATCGTAATCCAATTCTGGCCTAAATCTCAAGAAAACTGCCATCAGATGATCCAACTCGTCGAGTCTGGCAATGGACTCGTCGAGTTCATCATCTAATTATCCAACTCATCGAGTACAATCATAGGACTCGTCGAGTCCAGCAGTCAGAGTCCAAAATTACAATTTTTCAGCTTTGAAAATTACACAATAGCATTAGTATAATAGAAAACAATCCTAGGCTCTGATACCACTGTTGGGTTTTGAGCACTATAACACTTATAGGGTGCACATGCAACCCTAGATGCTTTGGATCTAAGTTTTCTCTAATTATACATGCAATTTCAAATTTCCAAAGCATACATCCTAACTAGCATGCAATTGAAGACATACAACATAAAACCAAGTTAGATGAATACCTCTTGATGTAAGTTATAGTTTTTGGCCTTTAAAAGCTTTAGCACCTCAAATGTGATGCCTCTAATGTGTCACAAACACCAAATGCAAGAGGAGGCTTATGAGGAGAGGCTAGATAGCACTAAAATCGGTTATAGTTCTTCTTTAGAATGCATGGGCCGATTTTAGGGGCTAAGGGGATGCTTTTATAGTGTGGGAAAGCCTAGGGTTACATCCATTCAAACCCTAATTCACCATCACCCTTCATATTTCTTAGGCCCTTTGGGTTTAAACCTTCATGGATTATCATATAGGTTTAGCCCATCCTAATCAACCATGGATCATTAGCCTATACTATAACTATTACTAATTTACTTAATCAGTCCCCGTAAATTTAATCATTCTCTTTTGATCACTAAATTAATTCCAAATCAATTCTTAATCAATACTAATTAAATAATATGCCTTCTCAATTAATATATTATAATTATAATATATTAATAAATCACAAATAACATCTTCCTCAAAAAGTCCATCCTATCAAATTGCTCTAGTGAAGGCAGCCCAAAAGGACCATGCTACTATCGGGTCAAGTACATACCAATTATAGTTATGGGCTTAGACACCTAATCCAACAGTACTTCCCCTTCAACAATGACTAGGGAACCTTCGAATTCTTGTTAATAGTCATCGTAAGCTCAATATCAGTTATTGCTAGGCAATCATAATAGTTATCTGTGAAAACCTTAATGTGAGAAAATCCAATAATGAAATCATTTTTGTTCGACTCAGGAAGCTTTGAAACATCAAAATTGCTCAAAATCCTTGTCACCGTCACCTAGTCATTCAAGTTCATGAGAGGGAAGTTAACAATTAAAATTTCACAAACCACGTTGTTTTCCATCAAGACAACATATCGAAAGTTTTGTAAAAGACCTCCGAATAGGGTTTCTCGAGTGATGGACATCACTTTCTCAATCTTTACTGATGACCACACTTCTTCTTCATTTTTCCCCAATATAACATGAAATCGCATCTTGAGCCTTTTGAACTCATCTTTATCTTTGATGTTTTTTTGCGATTTTGAACCGAGATGAAGTAAACGACATATGGTTCAAAGGGAGTCAAGCTGACTGAAATCTGAGTTCTCAAAGTCATAACTCATTTTTGGTGCTTTGCGAAAGAAGTCATTCATCCCAATCGAAACTATTTCTTCAATGGTTTCATAACACCACTGCTTGCTGGGATCACCCTTATTCAAGCCAGGTGGGTCATTCTGCCTTCACCTCATAATGTTGTTTATCTACCTTTTATTCTGAATATCTAATGCCTATTGCTTTTTCCTTTCTTCTTCAGAAGGAGTCACCATAATACCTTTTCCTTTATCCCCTTGATCGTCTTTCGAAGGTGGTAGCATAGAACTCGAACTTGAACCTCCAGATTTTTCATTTATAAACAATTCCTTTTGTGATTGTCTTAATGTGGTTGTTGTTGAAGTTGTGGTTAGTGAAATAGGAAGTGAAGTGTGTATCTTAGTCGAAATCACTTTTCCAATCACTTGCATAGCACGAGGAGCATTTATTGGTAAGCAAAGGACCAACTCAAGGATGGGTGCTCGCTCAGTTTTGATATCGTTTCAATCTTCAAAATCAATTGAGAAATGGACTCTTGAGACACAGTTGACTAAGTCGAAAGATCAACTTTCAAAATTGACTCCTTAATGCTTGATAAGAATTCCTCAAACTTATGCAACACCTTACAATCCTGATCCGATTTCACTTCAATCGTGGTTGAATAAGAAGTATTGAATTCAACCAACTTCGCGATGACATCAACAACAACATCAACCTTACCATGTAACAAAGTATCGTTTTTCTCCATTTTCTCAACTTCTTTTGCCATTTCTGACTTAAGTTCAGCCACCTGAAGATCCACAAATTCTTTTATCTTCATTACTTGTTCCACAAAAAGATCATGACGCTCCTTAACCACATCATGAAGTTTTTGAATTTCATACTCAAAGCTTAGGGGTGCAAACGAGCCAAGCTATTCGTGAGCTACTCGGGATCGGATCGCTAAAAGCTCGACTCGAAACTGATTTTAGATGACCCCGAGCCGAGCTCGAGCTTAATATTAAGCTCGTTTATTAAACGAGCTCGAGCTCGAACCTATGTCACTAAGCTCGATTAGGCTCGCGAGCCTAAACGAGCCTTTATATAATATAATTTCTTATTTTTTTATATATTAAAATAAAAACATATTTGTGGATTAGGAATTTAGGGTATTAGTAAACGAGCTTCTTAACACGCTCGAGCCGAGCTTAAGCTTATTTAGGCAAGTCAGACAAAAAACAAGCCGAGCCCGAGTCGAGCATGTGTAATTATTTACGAGCTCGAGCCGAGCTCAGTACAAGAAGCTCGAATCGAGCCGAGCTCGAGCTCGAGCCTCTTAGAACTTAAACGAGCCCGAGCCGAGCCTGGCCAGGCTCGGGCTCGGCTCGACTCGTTTGCACCCCTAGAGTGAACATTCAACCGTTCGACCCGTTTCTCTTCAAGAATTCCAACCAAGGTGCGAAGACGATTCTCATGAGACTTCAATAAGTATTCCATGTTTACTCTAGAAACAAAATTGCTTCCCCCAGTATCTACTTGAATTTGTAGAAGATTATTGATTTTGGAGTTAAGGATTTTGACATGTTTACCGGACATGATCATGTCATCAGGAACATTATCCTCTTCTGGGTCGAACTGCAGACCATCAATAGAAACCATCACATCATAATCATTCATTTTTGCATCAAGAATTACTCTCTCTACTTCATTAGATTGAGATTAGAAAAGAGTAGTAATTGTTTCATGCATAATTGTGGAGTAAGTTGGTGAAATAGTTGAAACTGGAAATGAAGTTAGAATAGGTGATGAAAGTGGTGGTAACGAAATGGATGCTTCAATGGTTGAGGTTTCAATGGTAGAAATGTTTGAAGTCGGAAATGGTGGATGTTGCAAGAATTGAAGTAACAAAATCTTATTTGTTCGACACCACTTCACCCGTATTGACATTTGTGTCCGTATTAGATACATTCACAGTGATTTCTAGAGTTCGAACCTCCTCCGTATGGGACTCGGTTTGCGAAACCCCGGGCGGTATGATAGTAGTCTGCTCAAGGATGGATGTAGATGTGTGATCATTCTAATTAGTGTTCATATCCGTATTAAATATGTTTACATTGACACTAGGATTTCTCATCTCCTCAAAAATCGACTTGATAGGAGAATCCCTTCGAGGTGACCCACGCCCAAAATCTTCATAACGATTATCCCTACTTTCACTATCATTATCCGTTTCGACAATTACGTGATCAACTGGATCTTCAAGTTGTCTTTTCTTCGTTTTAATCTTTTGAACCACTTCTAGGGATTGATGTTTCTATGTGGCAGGTGAAACAGGAACAAGAATGTCTCTAAACAGCTCACCTATTTTGTTGAATTAGGGTTTACGAATCTTCTTGATACCCTTCTGAGAAGAATGAGTATGCAAAGAATCAACCTGGGTTTGCTCAGTTGTATCAATTTCAGGTTCTTGAACAGATGGCCTGACTGGATAATGATGAGGCCTCTTGATTGGATTCTTAGTGCGCTTGAGAATACCAGTCTTCGAAGGAATAACTTCTTTAGAAACTTCCTCCACCACATGATCTTTAGCATGTTGTGGTTTCATAGTCTGCTTCTTCTTTTTCTTCTTCGTTACTTTAACAACTTTCAAAGAACCCTCAGCCCCTTTTTGCAGAAGAGCACCAACAGAAACATTAGCATCAATGGATGCCAAGTACTGAACAAGAATTGGGTTTTTCGGATCAATACACATCAACATTGTATCTGGAATGCAAGCAACACTTGGAAAAATAACTGGATCATCAACAAAAGGTTTTGGAGCTTTCAATATCAAAATCTCACCAGTTTCGACATCCGAAGGAACCAAAATCCCTTTTTGTCCGTACACCACCTTGAGAATCAAACTCCAATATTGAGCACAAGAAAAACTATTAATCATATTGGTGTGAGTAATTGCTGAGCCAAATACTTCCCATAGTTGTGTGACATAATCAACATCCCAATCATAGTAGATGCTAACAATCATCGCATAAACTTCCAATTTTGCTTTGTCCAACCCTGAACTGCGACTAGTCAATCATCGCAATACAATGCTAAACAGAAAACTTCAAATACAGGGAAGACTCGATTTATGAAAATGACTAATTTTAGTCAGAACTAGTTGATGACCCATCTCGTTGAGCATGTGAAGAACCCGTTCATTAGTGACTTCATAAAAGGTACCTGAGACCGGTAGCTTCATGATTTGGGAAAATTGTTTCTTCGTAAGCTTTCGTAGTTTGTTATTCGTTAATTGAAAGGTAACAACCTTGGCTGTTCTGTTGAATACGGAAGTAGAACCAGCAAGAGACAACCAAGTCATTGGAATAGAAAACGACAACGATAACATCGTGGAAAGAATATAGTGATTTAGGGCAAGAATCAACATTTGTAATTGTTCTGGATATTGATCAACAGTTGGCAATAAATGAATATTCGTTCTCTAAATCTTCATTAGGGGTTGTGAGATTTCTTCTTCATTGGTGGTGTTTGAGGGATCAACATTGTTGTTAGGAGCCACCATTGTTGTAATTGCAAAAAAATTTGAAGACGATGAAACACTGATGATATTGACAAATATGTTCTGAGAGCATAAAGGCTGAAAATAGTATCACCAATTTCGTTTTATAATTATCGATTTGAACCAGTAACCAATAAGACAATGCAATGTATTGCATTGGTTATTTAACTGGTCACCGTAAAAATCGCCACTTCATAAAAGTAATCATCATGATTTCCTCAAATCCCGTGAAAATCTGGAACCGTCATGTCTGCCAGATCTTTCGTTGTTCCCAGCCGGATATGAACAGCCACATATATTGAACTGTAATCAAGGACGTCGTGTTATTTTGACATCAAGAGAAGATCGTTCCCTCGCATTGAGTTAAGGCTCATTTGCTTTTGGGATTTGAAAGGAAAATTATATGCCTGACTTTGCGAAATCTTTGTTTCGAGTTGGTATTAACAAAAACCTCAAGGATTCTAGTGTAATTGTGTGCCAAAGAATGAGTGAGAAGAAAATTTCTTGAAAAAATATAGGTATTGTGATATCAAATACATTTGATACGAAGATAGTTGGATCCCGGGAAAAGATCTCTTCATTCGACATCAAGAGAGATGACGAACTGCTTGCTTGGTTTCTCGTGAAATACAATCGAATACTCTTTGATGAGCATCGAAGGGATTCTTTTTCATTGATTTTGAAAGATAGGCTCAATTTTGCTCAATACCACAACTTAACATAAGTTTTATTCAATTGATCAAAATTACTTGGATGACCAGTGTAGTCAGGAACAAGTATGGTTGGATATGTTTTGAAATAACAAAAAGTCAGAAAGATATTCAGACTAAAATCACATTCCAAAAAAAAATTAAGTACTGGACCTTGTTGGGCAAAAATGTCTTGGTTATAGAACATTTTATTAAGATCATGCATGTTGAATGGAAAATGATTTTGAATATTGAAAAGGTACTGAAACAAGTGTTTCGTTATAATCTTGAACAAAATGTTCACCGGCAATTCCTTGATTTGTTGAGATTTTTGGGGTTCACCATCATCACGGAAAAATGACTCAGGATCATAAACACATAGTGTAGCAATATCTACATTATGGTAGGTTTCGACCAGACATGACGAGGATATGCAGTGAGGTGTGTGAATATGACAGTAATTTTGGTGAAAAAGATTGTGTGTAAGAACTCATTGTACCTCTACAAAATATATTGACATAGCAGAAGTCTCTTTACTCAATATGAGAAGAGAAAGGTAGCTCTTCACCTAATGTGAATATAGCCTAATTGGGAAGGAACGTTCGTAACGAGAGTTCCATTAAGGCTACGAAGACATAAAGTCTATGAGGCTTGAGGTCAACTTACAACCGCATGCTTCGAGGGACTCCTAACTAGTACATTAGTTCGAAGTAATACATGTTCCCTTTCTAAATATGATTGTTGAGCATATGCCATAGCAGCATGTTGTTACAATGAGCCACAAAGAGTTAAACACAATATGAATTAAACAAAAACAAGAAAATCTTTTTGGATTTTTAGTTTTTGAAAAACAAATACAAAAACAAGAAAATCTTTTTGGATTTTTAGTTTTTCGAAAATCAAAGACAAAAATAAGAAAATCTTTTTGGATTTTTAATTTTTAAAAAACAAATAAACAAAAAAAAACTTATAAAATGTTACCAAAATACTTTCGAAGTAGTAGTTATCAACCAACAATTATGCTGCACATCGAACTGCTTTCTTCCCCACAAAGTGAATTGATGTGAACGATGAACTGAAACAGTAACCTCTGAACGATTCATAAAAACACTAAGCGAATTAACATCTTTTCAATCAAGAAGAACCTAGAACAGAACATGCTTCGATCATCCCCAATCCATTCAAAATCCTTAAGAATGACTTCTCATCTAAAGGTTTTGTAAAAATATCTGCAAGTTGATCCGTTGTTTTCACAAAATGGACCTCAATGTTCCCGTCTTCGACATGGTCTTTTATGAAGTGATAGCGAAGAACAATGTGTTTGGTTTTCGGATGTTGGACTGGATTATGGCAGATTTGAATGGCACTTTGTGAGTCACAATACAAAGGAATTTTCTACATCTTTATTGCATATTCAAGCAGGTGACTTTGTATCCAAATAACTTGAGATGTGCAAGCTGCAACAACCATATACTCTGCTTCTGCAGTCAAAATCGAAACACACGTTTGTTTCTTCGATTTCCAGCTTACTAATTTGCCACCCAACAATTAGCATTCACCTGTAGTGATCTTTCAATCAAGTTGACAGCCACC